TTCTAAAATTAAACCACATCAATAAAGATACAAAGTACAGCCTTCAGATAAACTAATGGTATTTTCGAATATTCTTTTCTTTGCATTTTGACAATGACAGCCAAATATTTTGTATTCATGAAAAAAAGCTCAGGCGCTTGAAATTCCCGAAATAATCAGTTCAATGTTTAGTGAGATCTCAAGTCATAGTTTATGCATGTGTATCGAGATTAAAGGCATACCAAAATTCGAAAAAGTGCTGTTTCATAAATGTTCACATCAAAATAGCATTATCATAATTCATATAATCCAAATGTAATTGAATAATCAATGTCCTGAATGTATCTTTTGTTTTCAAGAATACATGATGAATGATAAACGGCAACATGAAATATTAGTTATTAGTTTGTCAAATATTATTGTTGTTAATTTATTATAGATATTTTAAATTCTTGATAAATATACCAATGACATTGTTCTCATGTCATCACTTTTCATTATTGCAAAATGTTTAAGCATGAATATATATCGCTTTTAAGTCTTAAAACAGGAAATAGATGTGATGATCGCAATCGCTTTATTCATTGCTTATCGAATAAGTGAACTGATTTTCATGATTATTGCCTTTTATTTTATCACTATACATTGTATGACATTCAACTGTTTTCAGTTTTTTCTTAATATCACACACTTTTCACATGGAGAACAGTATGATTTCATGGTTTGGTGTCGTAATTTTTTTTCATAGCAATAACAAAATAAATCATGCTCACTACATGAAAAAATGTTTTTGTCAACGATATTTTCGATAGTTAATAATAAACGGAAAATAAACATTAAAAATTATAGAAATACATTATATATGGATAAATACTGGAATACACTCGTCTCAAGTCATTGTAAAGTATTTGATATTCATATTCATGTTTTATTGGATATACTAACGCGAAATTATGGTATATGGACCTATTAATATGCTTTATATTTCTCTTTTAGTTCAAATCAGAACTTACAGAAAAAAAGTGTAATAAACTATTATAAAATGCCGACTAGAACATATATTATGCTTGATATGATGAAAAGGCATAATGTTGTCAGGTAAAATTAGCCAATATGTTATTTATTTCTGATTTGTTTATTTTGTTTTGTTTAAGTTTCAAACAATGGGAAGAAAAACAAACTGTGAACGTCTGTCACTGGTCATGCTATATGTGTAGATGTATTGGAAAACTGGTAGGAATTGAATAAAACAAAATGCCATGGTTTTTCTCCATCTCCTTCTCTAGGGACACAGTAATGAGACACTTTATATAATTTGAGAACGCCTTACAATAGCGTTACCATGGAAACGCATTCCTAAATAAACTTAGATCAATTTGGTACAGAATACGTTGATTAGTCATATTTTAAACACTTTTTCTTAAAAACACAATTAATTTGAGCAAGTGGGAATTTTTGTCTAAGACGATCAGTGACTTTTGTAAGACAGTACAAAGTGTATCGTGTCTCACAAGGAAACAAATTAACTGTATAGAAAAATTATTGTTTGACTGTTATGTTCTGAACAAATAAAATGTTCTATGGTATTATAGAAAAATGACATAACGATGAAAGGTAATCAAATTATTTCAATATATCCATATATAACAATTTGGTGTTATTATGTGAATTTCTTCTTTATTATACAGCATTGTAATATGATTAATAAATAAGTTCGTACTAATTAAGTAAACAAACGTAGGCAGCAAAGCCAGCACACGGATAAAAGTAAAATGAATATTAAATATTTTTCATAGTGGTGATACCTATATATCTAGATGTTAGTAAACTGTGTAAAGACTTACTCGATAAATTAACAAATGAAACGGCCAAGTGTAACTTTATAGTAAAAACTGATTATCCGACTATCCACGGTAAAAATCAAATGCTTAATAAGAGAATTAACTTTAACATCTTTTCGACATAAACAAGTTCTTTGTTCGATGTATATATTTGAATATCATGTAAAATCATTATATAAACCAACAAATGCTATAAGTTATCATGTGCTTTTTTGATCTAGTAGTAAACAATTTCTAAATGCCATATATAAAAAACTGTAAGCTATATAAGGTAATGTAATTTTTTCAGGAGAACGCACTTGTGGTCAGTCGGGCTAGCAGAGTTCATGAATTAGTTCTAGACGTTTAACGCCATGAAGCTTATTATTCTCTGGCGTGTGGCTCTTATTTATGACCTATTCTATTTCCTAACGGACCTCCGAATCGCCCGGAAATAACAGTATTTTACCTCTGTTTATAAAATAGTTTCCTGCCAAAAGGCTGTTACCTTATCGACGCTATCACGAAATCAGGTGTGCATGAGATTTGAACATTTAATTCGGAAATTTAAGATTGTTTCGAGTTAAAAAATTAAGAAGCATTATATATGGTCAGAAAATTAATATACGTCACATTTTTATCACCATATTTGGAAAATGATTTGAAAAATAAGAGAAAGAAAATAAATCTAGAAAAAATTGTTTTGTGCTGCTTATGTCTTCACATGTTTGTTAAAAAACTACATGAATGTATTGCTACAATAACGTAAATAAATATGGGAATATTATTGCCTTAAAGAAATATTGAAATAAATAAAAAACTGAAAAAAATTTCATCGACCTTAAATCTAACGTCATTCAGCGTTGTAAATGACACTTGTTGTTCTAAATAAATTATTCTTTTTGAGTTACTAGAAGCAAGATTTTAAGGATCGAAGTCAGAAGAAAATCATTTAAAATACAGGAGGTAGTATGATGAAAGAGCACATTGATTTCAGATCAAACGAGAAATTGCTACGTTTATTTAGCTTTCCAAGTGATATTGTGTATAAAAACTACTTCCTGATGTACGTTTCTCCTGTTTTAATTGCAATAATCTTTTCTTCTAATTTTGGAGTTGATATGAATGTCAAACAAGTTATCTTAAAAATCAATTTGTTAAAATGCTTTCCCACATAAGCAATTCGTTTGGCATAGTGTAGCAACAGATTTGGGAATACAACAAATATATCGGGTGCTTAACTTATTTAATGAAATTCGATTTGTCGTGTGTACCATTTAAGTGAGTGGCAGATCACTAGAAATTTGTATATATATATATATTTTTCAAATGATCACGATAAAATCAGTCATCACATTCCTAAAATTTCATATTTAAGTCTCAATATGCAATGTAAGGATTATTTGAAATAAAAATTAGATAGCATGTATGTGCAGTTACATTTCTCAGTAATTCTAATTTTTAGTTTCAGTATTCAATGACTTCTTATATTGTGTGAATGAAAAAATAAAAAAAAAAAAAAAAACACTGTTTAAAAATAAAAGCTTTCTCCGGAGAAGTTAGTTTGTTTTAAAATAAATTGAGAGTTATTTGATAACACATCGAAAATGGCAATTCTGTACATTATTTGCATTTTTACTCCGATTTATTTCTAAATTAGTTATAAATTCCTTTAAAATCTACAGTGCTTTACACACACACAGGGTAGTGTGTTTGCTGAGGTATGAACGTCAGGGCTCACTATACTTTGTGTGTATATATACATGTGCAATCTAAAATAGTTTACAATGTCTATGGGAATTACTACCATTCTGCCAAATGTATTTTGTTTATCATGTCGAACAATACCATACACATACAACTAAATATATTTATACTGTGGTGGAGAATATTTGTTGCTTATCAGCTATTCAAAATATCTAATATGATTATGTAACAGTTTCTTGAATATTAAGAATATTTTGTAAATACATTATGAGGATGTAAACATATTTATTATTGCGTCCTAATATACAATTTTTAGGACTATGTTTTGGTGAACAGTATGTTGAATCAGACTGTTTTTGTTGTGTACAGGATATATATGATAAACATATATGTACATTTAGGGACAGGTGTAATTTTTACCTGACATGCCAATGGCTTAAACTGACCACAGTATGTCTCATCCGCCACAAATGTCTACATTAATTCTACTCTAATGTACATTTGTCTAGACCAACACGTATGCTGTGAAACAAATGTATATTATACATATGAAATGATATTTACTGTATGTGCGGGGTTCAATTTCGAATAGAATGCTGTTAATTGTAAATACATGATATTTTTAACATATCTGAATTATTATAAATTTAAGCTGAAGTGTCTTAGATATATTCAAACCCTCAACGCTACATAAGATAAAACGCACGGTTTTCTAATAAATTTGTTTGTATGTGATTTGAATTTCACATAACACGCAAGCACATGGTGTATTGTTTACGTTTGTTGGACAAAATGGCTTCCGCTCGTAAATCATGCTTTTTGTCCGTTGGTGTTGATTAGCGTTTAACCATGGTATGCCAAGAAATCATACAAACTTCAGTATACGTATCGAGTTTTATTTTTAGTGAATTGAATTTATCATTTCAATCTCACGAATGAAGACGATTTTAATTGAAATCTAAAACTGATTTTAAACTAGAATTTGTTTTTTGAACGAACAATGACAAATATGGCTGTATATGACCTCATTTGATGTGTACACCATATCACCACTGCCTAACCCAGTTCTGTATTCAATTTATGGGTAATGTTCCATTAAAGAGATATTGCAATCCCATAAAACAGAAACATTAAAATTTACATATTTCCACGTTAACCTCATGAAATTGGATTTTAAGTGTTTTTTCGCCAATCGGTGTCATTCTGCATATGACAAAAGGTTTTATCTATTCTTGCAATATTAGATGTTACATTTATATCCAGGAATAGTTATATTCACATTGTTACATTCATATCCAGAAACTGTTATATTTGGGGAAAAAATGAAATGTGTCAACAGAAACTTCATATTTTATACTTATATTTTATATACGTTGGGAAATATTTATATATGTTTGTATGAAATATTATTTGTTAAATGCTTTAAGAGAAATATCGCCTGATCAAATAGCAAAATTCTACTTATAAATTAACAAAAGTGAGAAATATACATACCTTGTGAATACTGCATCCGCCTCATCCAGGGGTAAATATGAGGAGGTGTATACTGATCCGTTGGTCGAGGAGACTGAGGTGCCTGGTTTGTAGCGGATTGGGGGGAGACCTGGGATTGCTGCTGGTCCGGAGGTGTGGGTGGGGGTTGGTGTGAGGGTGGGGTAGTTCTGTTCCTCTCTACCCCACCACTCAATTGCCCGTTCGGATAATATGAACCACTACTATTTGAATTTGTCCGTATATTACAAGATGACCTTTCACTAGATGGGATATGATGGACGTTTTGAGAATTAGTATTTCCGACATGGAGGTTGTGAGGGGAAGAACAAGGACTGGTGTGAGGCAAATGGCTCAACCTGGGAGCTCCGTAATAGTCGCCATTTTGGTCTTCAATCCGTTCCTCTTTAGACGGATAAGGGTACCTTCCACCCGGGAAACCCGGGTACAGCGTACCGGAATGCTGATAATTTCCATTTCTATGAAAACTAGCTTCAGAACAGCTGTCTAGTCCAACAGTTTGTCCATAGCACGTGGATAAAGAATTAACGAAGTATGAACTCATCGGTACCGTAGTAATTTCGGATCGTAAAACTGTCCCGTACCGTCAGGGTTGGACGCGTGCAGAATGAATTATGTTGATGTTGTTGAAGTACGTAGAGAGCGTTGTAACATAGAGAATCACTCGCCACTGAAAAGAAGCCATGATAATCACGTGATTAAGACAGCCAATCACAGCCTCGCTTTCATTGCAGAGGGTAAAAGTCAGACCAAAATAGATTTGAATATTTACACTTTATAAAAGATAAAGACAGAAAAATAAATATTATATACTAAAAATGCATACAGAGAAACCAACTTACAAGTTCGTGGGCAGTGTGACGTCCTAGTCCGAACAGTTTCATTGTTAAATCTACACAGGCACTCTGTCGTACCGGTATACATACCAGTTCGTCCAGCATTGAGCCTGCCCATCGATCAAATAAACCCACGTGGGCTATTGTATCACAGGACACACTCCAATGCATATGAAATATTACACACTATACAGCGTATGTTTAAACAGCAAATCAACTTTGCTCTGTGCTAGCAGACAAAAAACTTTACTTCTAGTTATGCTTATGTTAATAACGAGATTTCTGTTTATCTGATAAATGTGATAAAAAAGTGATTCTTTATACAATACCAGCCACTAGCCTGTCGACGGTCTAATGTGTTTTGAACTGTACCCCAGAACGACCAAGAGTCATTAGGAAACTACCATTAACCTAGAACGCGCCAACACATTATTTTGATTTTCATCTGCTAGTACTATGTCCAGATATATGTATATGGCTGTTATGATGAATGCTTTCTAAAGGCTTTATACTTACGTTGTACTGATAGAACTAGCCTTGTAGTAACGACTGTGGTCAGGGGTATACATAAATACTTAATGTAGCATTTTCCCTCAAACACCCAGAAAGTCTTTCTCTCTGATCAGTCAGTATCAACGAAGAAATATCTCACCTGAAAATAAAACACACGAAAATATACCTTTGGTAATTGGCAGTTTCCTTTTACGTTCTGTTTGAAAGTAGACAGTAAATTGTCCATATCAGCTGATAACTTAATTTATAATAAGGAATTACTCTAATTGTGTAGTTTTGTGCCAATGAACAAGAATATGAATATCAATACATTTCTGCTCAGTAGTTAGATTTTCCATTCAATTGTATGAAAATGCATATATATTTTACTACAAGAGTTGGAGGTAAAATAATCATACATTTGAGTACGGTTACCATGTTTGATTTAAGTAATAAATAAAAAGCAAGAAAAATATTAAAATTGTGTACACCTTGAAACATTGCAAATTACAACATAATACAAATTAAGTACCACTTGGTGTAAATCGAAACAAAAGCGTTTTACCTTCGCTTATGTTCTCAGCATACATAAACATATCGAAAGGCAGCGAAAAAAATAAAAATAAAAACACATAAGCAACACAAATTGAGAGGAAATCCCGCGATTCAATAATGTGATTCCTTATAAGATTGACAAATCATTACAAGCATTAGATATGTTATGTATGTTATTTTAACAGCACATTTTTATCGATTTTTTTTTTCAGTTAACTTAAAGAATAGCGGTAGTATATTATTATTTTATCACCCGCAGCAAAATAAAAGATGTCGAAAAAGTATACGACTGTTTTAGGTACAATGTTTCGAGTTTTTCAGGGTTAAAAGTCGATTGCACTTTAGTTGTCATGGTTTGATCACGAAACGGTAACTGATTAGCTGAATTGTATATAAATAATAAACACATTAATCTTCAGCTGCAAGTGCAATACTTATCAATCATTAAGTCACTAATTTATTCATATCATAACAACTGGTATTTTCGCAAGCGATATTAAATGTCTAATATCGAAACATAACACGGAGCTAGTATTTTCATTATAATGTATGCATTTGTTTCTTTTAGTTCACCGGATGGTGTACGATGATAAAGACATAAAACAATGCTAGCGGGAGGAGAGATGTTATGGTTGTATACTTGTGATAAGACAACTCAACCTCACTGTGTGAATAAATTTTGGACTCAGTGTCGTAAATCGTTAAGTCTTTACATATATATTAAACTAGATTTACCTTAATATCATATAAATATATTGGCACGTGTTTGTGTTATTTACGATACCATAACAAACAGTCATAGAATCTTGTTAGAAAGGATTGCTAATTAACAAACATAAATAAAACTTCTACATGGACATATCTGTCCCTTGGGTGATGTATCGTGAACAGGGGTGAATAAATAAACGGACAGAAGACTAAGACGCCTGATTATGATTTATTTCTTGTTTGGCGTCTAGCAAAAGCCATTTGACAGCTATGTATATGATTATTTTTCCTGTGATTCATTGGGTGATTTTTATCTTGAATAATCGAATATACAATGAGCTATAAAGGCTTTATCTAAAATAATACAACATCCCTTTTCTCATATTTCACGTTCACAATTGGTTCTCTTGTGTGAACCTCAAACACCCATGTTTCATCATTTCATAAATAAGTTAATACTTCTGTATTGAATATATTCACACAAAATATTTGTCAATATTTCGTCAAGTTAACTTCATTTTAGAAAATACAATCATTCTTCTTTCGATGTGCAACTTGTGCTAAATAACTCAATAGTTATTTATACTCTTTGCATAGCTATGCAGTTTATTTAACGAGAGCTTTTCATTGGATAAAAAGAGAACGGATAAAAAATGACAACACCATGTGGTAAAATGAAGAAGCCCTGACACATTATATTCACTCTTGTAAACGTAGGTTCAATATATTCTTATTACGTGGTAATTCATGTCCTACTGGGAACCACGTAGACAATTAATTAATGCACTACTTTGGTATTAAAAATGCATGGAATAGGGAAACACATACCGAGCATTAACACAGTTAGCTTTAGGTTGATAAAGTAATGTACGGGGAAAATATGAGATAAAGACGTTACAGTCACATGAAAAACAAAAAAATAGCATATCGTGAAAACAATAGGATATCATTGAATAAAACATATATAAAATGTATATTTGTCAAGTTATGATGTGATTGCTATGAGCACTGCTCCACTGATATTGATTAGTGTAGCTATTGACTTTTATTCTCCATCATCGCATAGAAACAGACATATTTATTTTATTCTGTTTTTTTTTTTATTATTATTATTCAGAAAAGCGTTAATGTCATTATGCCAATTTACCAAAGCATAACATATGATATAGCATACTTTTCTATAAAGTTATCTATAACATTTTATATATCTTGTATATTGTCAAGTAAGTATTAATTAAGTGTGGTATTTTACAAATAAGAAGCCATTTATCATTGTTTATTGGAAATATGTAAATATGTGACGTATTCCAATAATAATACATCTTTCACGATTGGTGTTTATCTTAAAGTTGGTCAGTTATAATGTGTCTTATTTTATCATACAATTTTTATTTGCAAATTTTTTTATGGAAATATTGATTCACATTTTTAAAAAATAATTTGCTTTAACCGATGCAAGAAATAATTGTTACAAAAAAGAAAAACAAACAAACAAAAATTAAAAAAAAACAAACAAATTAAAATATCCCCAAAAAACCTAAAAAAAAAAAAAAAACTAAAAACGGAAAAAACAATTGTTTCATAACAATCACTGATATAACATATGGACTGATACGATTTTCTGACTTTTAACAACAAAGAAAGATAATATTTAAGAGTTATTGATGCAAAATAATTTATACATTAAAGTATTTTATTGACTTTTACAATTTTATTTGAAATATATGCAATTGTATGTAGTCTATAAGTCTAAAAATTCAATCTCTCCACATTAAACAAAGATAATATTTTATTCTATGAGAATAGTCTGTAATTTCTTGGGGTTGAACCAGAGTTTATTATGGTTGGATGATAGCTTTTGTTCACCGTAAACACAACCATAGTTTATGTAGTGTAGATACAGAGAACCCATTTGCATTGTTTAAATTAGTATATTAAGTTGACACATATAAAAATACGTATGACTATTTTAAAAAAAGGTGTTAAATATATTTGTGATCAATGAAAATTACTTAGTCAAAAACGTCTTCACTTTTGCCTTTAAAACAAACAAAAACATAGACTTTGCTGATATTTTTCACACTATTTATATAAAAAATGAAATAACATGATAAACAAAAATGACATATAAATATTTCATGATTTACACTGTATATACATCTGTATAAAAGCATAATGACTACTCTTTCAGGGAAAGAAACTAGCGGTATTATAATAATAAATGTCAACATATTAATAGAGATCAACAGATGATATGAAAAGATTTCACGAGGGCAGGCCAGAGCAAGACATACTGAAGAGAAAATAGAAATAAATTGAACAATTGTCTTCCCAAATGGTTAAATAGATTTACGAGATGTAAATTTATCCGGGTCGGTTAAGTCTCACCTAATGTAGACCTTAACTTTAAAAAAACGTATCGAGTACGTCCGACTAAGCAGTTAAAACCTATTATCATTGGGTTTTGGTCACGACAGCACGCATTGAATAGAATTTCTGTCCATTCAATCCTTTTCTCCCTCCATACGTTCACCTGTCCGTATGTAAAGAAAATATTGTGTTATCTAGTATAAAGTACACGTTTGTTAAGTCATATATGATGTACATTGTGCTGTCCTGTTAATCTTCCTATTGTTTTCCTTTCATTCTATTACATATTCCATCATCATTAGTAGGTTCACACCATAAAGCAAGTGTGGTTAGTATTGTATCCACCATATCTATGAGCAAATAACTTAAACAGTGATTTGTTGATTACAATATGGAATTTGATTTAATACAAAAATAAATATCTATCGACCAAACTTAGGTGCCAATGTTATTGCGGATAATAAAGCTTGAAAATATATGATTATTCAAATAATTTATTGATAGAATGATTTTTTGTATTCATTGATGGAGTGAAAAAGATACGTTAGTCTGCAGGTACTAGGATTTCCGTTCAGCTTGGTAT